TATATATATATATATATATATATATATATATATATATATATATATATATATATATATATATAAACAGAAACCGGTTCCGTCGGGTACCCGGCGGGTAGCGGTTCCGAAAAAATAAAAACGGGAACCGGAACCGCTTAAGTCGGTTCCACAATTTTAGGAACCGAACCGCCTAAGGCGGTTCCGGTTCCAGAACTGACGGTTCCGATGCGGTTCCGGTTCCAAAAGCGGGTACCCTGTTCCGGTGCTCACCCCTACCTCCAATGACCGAAATAATGAAGGTGACCTTCTCGGTGAAGAATTAAACATCGTCTAAGACTTATCATGTTAAACGATTGAAGATCACGACGATTTATATTGGAGAAGATGAAGTTAGTCAACGTTGACTTCTTGACTATATTTGACTTTCTGTTAGAGAGTTAATTGTTTGTTAGCTATAGTTAGTTAGTTGCTCAGAGTTAAGTTAATTAGTTGTTTTACTTGATGTATATAGATTGTATTGGTTGTTCAGATGAATTAATGAGATGAGAAATTCTTTCCAAATCTTGAACTTCTACATGGTATCAAAGAAGGAAAATACGATCATGCGTTCTTCGTTCTTCATTCTGTAGATTGATTCTTGTTCTTCAATCTACATATTTTTTTTGATTGATTCAAATCACAGATTGATTCTTGTTCTTCAATCTATTTCATTTTTTTCATTTTCATTAGATCGATTTTGTTTTTTGATCTAATTCTGCATCATGTCTACAAATTCATCTTCATCTACAAATTGTTCTTAGTACAAGATAGTCAGATACAATGATTAAATGTTTTTTATATTCACTTAGAAGAGTTTAAAAGAATAAATAAATAAATAAACCAAGGAGAAGGGGGTTTGAGAGAAATAAACCAAGTAACCAACCCTGCCACTGCCAGCAATAATGACAGAGCACAGTCAAAGACCTAACACTACAAGTCAACCAACCACCGAATAAAATCTTGAAGTGGTTGGACTTTCACAAATGAGTAACATGTCAGTATTCAATGATACCCACAAAACTCTATATATTATTAATTCCATTGGTTGGGAAGCAAATCCATTGAAGATACCATCGATCTTGCCATTTGATGATATAACATGAACATGATGAAAGAATAAACTAATTAAACAAAATAAAAACCGAGATCTGATGTTGCTCTATCAAGTGATAACTTTGACCGTGTATTTATACTACCAGAAGGGGCCAAAAGTCATTGTCTGACACATCTTCATCTACTAACCTAAACAAACGTAGAACAAATAATAAGACCCGGGGGAGTAACTATAAATAACCCATGAAAAAATGGAAGTTGGAGCAGGTAGTTGGTTTGGGCCAAGCATGCTAAGCCCGCATTGAGCCAAAGTGTTAGGGCTGGTCTTCAATGGGCCGTGAAATTTTAAAAGAAATTCCAATTTGTCACGAACTAATAATATTTTGAAGTTTTCCATATGACCTTGAAACCTAAACTTTGTGAAATTATATTTTATCCCCTAAAAGTATTAAAAAAAAAAAAAAAAAAGTTGGCCCACATCCCAGTTTTAACAAAATTCATAATGGAACGCTAGCTTTTGCTGTTATCACATTTGGGCACACACAGTACTAAAAGTTTCTAAGTATTATTTAGCCGCCCATATTCTGAAAACTTTATTACACTTTGTTCCAAACTAGTTTAAAAAAAAAGTACAGAATTCTCTTTCTTTGAAAACTTACACCACCATAGGAGCCCACCACAAACGAATCACACTAACACAACCAAGATGAGACAGGGAAATCACAATGTATCAAAAGCATGTATAGTGATGTCCAAGCTTGAACCTGGTATTGGGAACTCATTTAGGGATTCTTAGGACGACAAGCATATGCACATACATACTAGAAATACATAGTGGTGCCTTGGAGGGTTAGATAATAGCATTTGATCCAACATTATTTATAATATCCGCATTACCATACCTATGCCAATGCATTTAATGTCTTCAATATGATAGCATTAATTTGTTCTAAGTCAATAATATTTTGTAACTTGTACAACTAAAGCACTTATTACACAGCTAACAATAGCTGGTTCAGTATGGTGATCCAAAAACACTCTTTGATGCAAGATCTTTGGCGTGGAACCTATTCCACAAGCATTAAAAAAACATAATATTGTTAGACACTGTTTTCAAAATTTAGTTTCATAGATAATGACCAATAAAATTAAGATAGATTAACAACTTAAACTCTTAACTAAAGAATATAACTAGAAACGATCTTCAAGTTAATTAAAAGGTATATGATGATGTGAAAGAATGAGGTTTGAGTTGAGATATTACCTCTAGTCAAATGCATAAGGGTCGTCTGCATATGGATTCAGTGATCCTTCTGAGAACAGATCGCCTATATTGGCAGGATTTGGCTGACTCCCTCCCTTCATTTTCTGTTCAAATTTGCATTACAAATGTTAAATACATACAAAACAAAACAATAAAAGGAGAATGAACTAAACAATGAAAGATGCATGGAATAGTGTTACCATGATAGCATTTCTAGGGGTGTTGACTTTTGGTGTTTGCCTCTTGCTCTTTCTTGGATCCTTGAAGAAGGCGCCATCAAAATATCAAATACAAATTGACAATAAGCACAGAGATATGAGAGGAGTAGCATATACCTGAATCATGATTGTACTTTTTGTCTTTCGGCGCTTTGTGATTGTACCATGGGATGTTTCAACTTCATACTCATGGTGAGTTACCTGCCAATGCCATCCATTTCCCATGAGAAAGAGTAAGACTTGAGTTGACTCAATTCAATTCACCCAAATTTAGTAAACCGGAAATAATCAAACTACAGATTCACCTTTTTACTATGCTTGGGAATACTAATTACACTTTTGTCTGGTTTCTTCAACATCTTTGGGACTGGTGTTTCTGCTATGTTCGCATAAGGCAAATCCTACATTCAAGGGAAAACAGAGCATATATCATCATAACAATAATTATGTGTCTATAATAGTAATAATAATAATAATGTATGAGATACATACCTTTCTTGAGGTGGCTTCTTGGTCTTGTTGGGGCTCATCACTCATTACTTTCCATTGCATCTGCAACAAAGCCTTCTGCCTCTCCTCCTGTGACAAACAACGCCCACCCCATTGAGAATTAAAATCATAATGAATCACAACAAGTATACAAATAACATACCTTGGTCTTCTGGATATTCAGCTCCTCTTCAAGATGCTTACAGTCTTCTTCATGTTGAGACCTCAGTTCCTTTAACTCAGCTTCATGTTGATTCTTGAGCAACTTTGTTTTCTAGATAAAAAAAAATCTCAAGTTAACAAATTAGAAGCTTATGTATGCTATGTATTCATCAAGAATCAGGTCCCACCTCTTTGAGTTCATTCTCAGCCTGGAGTTGCATCCTTTTTAACTCTTCAGAGTGATTAGATTTTAGACTTTCTTCCTTCTTATCATTCTCCCTCCGAATTTTATTAATCTGCAAAATGAGAATGAATAACGTTTAGTTACTATTAATATTACTTGAGCTGAATCATATTCCACATGCATACCAAAGCAGTGTGTTCTCTCTCTATCTTCAACAATTGCTGCTTTGCTTCCTCTTTGCAATCTGAAAGCTTCTGTTCACTTTTCTTTTCCATATCTATAACTGCTTTTTCAGCCTGAGAATAAATCAAAATAATCAAATACAATTCAAGATCAAACACATCAATGAACAGAATATATATATATATATATATATATATATATATATATATATATTAAATGACCAACCTTTTCTTTCTCAAGATTGATGCATTCCTGCTTCTCTGTTTCATACTTCTTTCGAATAACATTAATAGCCTAATATATATAATCCATTGTTAGTTTGCTTCATCATCTAACAAGTTTGTTGACATAGACACAGGACAATGGACCTTACCTGATCATTTCTTTGAGAAATTTCCTTCAAATGCCTTGAAAGTTCCAACTGTTTACTTTCTAACATCTGGTTGTATTCTTTCTTAGCTTCTGCCAGTTTACCCTCAGCTTCAACCAGCGACTTTTGAGCCTACAACATCATATAATGTTAATGTGACATGAATGTCAAGATAGAATATAAAATAACAGCTATAGACGTGTAAAGAAATAAAACCTCTGTTAATTGATCTTCAATCTGTTTCTCTTTTTCCTTTCCTTCCAAAACAACCTGTTCCTTCTCCTGTAGCAAGCTTTGAAGCTGATTAAGTTGTTTCTCCTGTGAGTCTTCATTCTGTTCATGATTCACCACCTCCTTTTGCAGATTATCTATTTCCTCTTCCTTTCTTTGTATCTCTGATTGAAGGTTTTTGATAATCTCTTTATTCTCAGTTTCGGATTCCGAATGCTTCAACTGAAAATCTTGCTGCATTTTTAACAACACATTGATTAAGCATTATATGATAATCCAGAACCTTTGTAATAGTCGGATACATCCTTACCATTTGCATCTCTGATAATCTAGAAGCTTCAGATAAAGAACGAATTTTGTCCTCCAATGTAATGATCAGGTTTTCCATTTCAGCCTTCTTTGAAACAAGAATTTCTGCTTCAGACTCTAACTTCAGAACCTTTTCTTCTGCTATGCGGCATTCTTCTGCATGCTGGGCTATAGTGGATTGTTGATCATTCTGGAGCTCAGTGATCTTATTATTCAACTCCTGATTGACCATCTGCCATGCATCTTTTTCTGATGTGGTATTTAAAAGTTGACCATGAAGCCAATCATAACGTTGTTGTGCCTTTTGTGTTGCAAGCCTTTTTTCCTCTTGTAACAGCTCAAAGCAAGAATCAACAAAAGCATTGGCTTTAACAACCTTCTCACAAAAGGCTGCACTCTGTATATCCAAATCTGCCAGTTGAAAAGTCAACACCTTTACAAAATTCTCTAGGCTCTGGTTCTCCTGCATTGCTTTGTCTAAATGCTCAGCAAGCTTCTTGTTACAGGCTATAAGATCAGTATTCTCTTTCTCTTTTCTTTCATTAAGGTTCTGCATGTCAGTAAGCCTATCTTCCTTTGATGTTAGCTCAAGTTGCAACTCGCTCAATTTAGAAGTCAAACTTTCTATGGTTGATTCATTAGCTGCTACAGTCTCTTCAAAGTTCTTGATTAGACTATCTGCAAAATATATACATATATACTGAGATGGAAACAAGTTGAAATCTCTATTTTGTCCCATATCCATACTTTGATTAAAATATAACATGATTCTACATCCTATCTTCTTAAATACACAATACCCTTTTCATCTGTGAGACTGAGAACTTTGCAGTGTTCATCTTTAAGTTGTTTCTCTACATTTTCCTTGCTAACAACAAGTTCCTCCAACTCCTTTTCACCTGCAAGCACAATTCCACAAATTCAAAGAATTAAACTGAATTATGAAAAGCACACAAAGCGGCCCTTATAGGATCCAATGTAGTGAATCTTAAAGCAGAGAGATTTAACTTACAGTTCCTAATAGTTTCTTCTGATGATTCCAGGTTCAGAGACAGAGACTTCATTTGTCCATGCAGATTGTCAAGTGCTAACGAAGTTTCAGACAGCTTATTGGCAAAAGAGACTTTATCTTTCTCACCTGTGGAAGAACCATGATATTTGCATTCATAATTGTCTCATGATAATGTAGGAATCAAGGAATCAATGGTGAAACTCTTACCATCCTGAACCTGATCGGATAAAAGCTGTAAGGTTTCAGTAAGTTGATCACATAAGGTCTTTGTAGAAAAGAATTTCGACTCTAGTCCTTTCCAAAGTTTCTCATCTTCTTGATGCTTCACTTTAAGCTTTGCATTTTCATTATAAGCATTTTGTAACTTTTCTTCCAAAGCATGAATATGCTCTGATAATTTCTTCAGCTTAGAATTCTGCATCCATTGCAAGTCTTTGATCAGAGTAGGTTTCACATCCAATACATCGATATAAGCACAATATAACACACACACGCACAAATGTGCATACGGTTTCATGGAAGCCTTTATGTACAAACAGCTTATGCATAGTAATGATGAAACAACATTACCTCTAAAGGATATTGTTTGGGTATCAACAGCTACCCCTAAGGCTTGGTTTTTACTAAGGCCTTCACATGCAAAAGGGGTGGCAACCATCAACAACATGCTCAAGAGGGGTGGTTTATTCCTAGCTGGTTCTCTATACACAAACAATATGGAGTCAGCAGAGCACTTTTCTATGGTCTATCCTTTGGCCTTCAGAATTTGGACTAGTATTCTTGGCTGGATGAACTGATCATGCACTCCACCCTCCTCACTAAAGTTCATCTGAGGTTAGGGAAATTAAAAGAGCTGTCTGGTGAAAAGAGAGGTGCACTAAGCAACAAGTCCCTGGGCATCGTATTAAAATGGTGCAAGGAGCAAGATGAAAGACTTTCTGTTCTCAGAGTTCCAGTCATGGTTTTAGCCATTGTTTTTCAGGTTTAGGTTGTACGATGTTCTTGTATCTATAGTAAACTCCATGAATACATATTCTCCCCTTTACTTTACCTCCTATTTTAATAGAACACTTTTGGTTCAGCATTTTCCTAACAAGATACACACACACACACACACACACACTCCTATGCGTTAGTATACTATTGTGACTTTGATCTTCTTAAACTAATCATAATCAATGCCCTCACCATTCAATTGGACTATAGTTATGGGACATAAGCAGTAGTATATAACTATAAATGCACATTAACTATAATACAATTATGAATAGGAATGTCTCTGTTTGTTTCTACAGGACTTCATCTAATGTAAGCGACATTACTCATGAAAGAACATAATATTATAAGTAGAATACAACAATATTGAAGCACTTACAACAATCAAGCACAGAAATAGACATACATACGTCCAATTGAGCAATAAGAGACAGAAATACATAGAGCAAGAACGATTAAGTATACCGCCAAGTCAAGATCTGTTTTCGCGGATGCTTGCTCTTTGACCAATTTCTCTGCAACAAAAGGAATCAATCGCATAATATAAAATAATTTATCTTTGAAATCATTAGAATCAATAATCTCAGTCTCCGTAATGAAAAACCTGCAGTGAGCTTCAAATTAGCAAAACTTCCTGATGGATTCGAATAGGAAGGTTGTCGTGCAGAGATCTGGAAACTTTTTGCAGTTGCCGAACTAGACGATCCTAACGAAGATTTGAACTGATCGAAGCTCTTTAAGCCGGAAAATCCTACTGGCTTGCTCATTTTAGGATTCAAACTACACGATTTCACGGAATGTCTACGGTTTTATGATGATCAACAACTTCGGCAATTGGAGTTCTGCGAATCACTAACTAAGAATCGATGAAAGAAAGCTTCAAACAATCAGTAGAGAAATCGTACGGAAACCCTAGAATTCGTGCAATCGATAACTTGTTTGCAAATGAAACAGGCGCCAAATAATTTATCCTTCTCTGGTATTTATAGGCGTCACAATGAAGGCGGTCGTACCGGTAACGGGTGAAGTTGGAGCCCACACGCATAATATTTGAACCTTAACATCATTTATATCAAAGTAGATTACAGTTTTGGTCCCTGTGGTTTTTCCTAATCTGCAATTTTTTTTGTCCAACTTTTGATATTTTTTTACATGGCTGGTCTGGTTTCAAAATGTTATTAATTTTGAATTAATAATTTTTTATATTAATATGTTATAAAACATTCTAGTTATTTTAAATATTTGATCAAATATATACATATTAAAACTATATAATAGTCTTTACATACAAGATTTTACATAAAAATAAAAAAATAAATTTATTTCTATTATCATATATATATATATATATATATATATATATATATATATATATATATATAAAAGTTCAATAAAAC